GACAAGAAGGAAAATACAATTTTTCCCCGCTGTCTTATTTTAGTAACTGTCATAAAACTATCAAATTTATCAGACACGACTTTTCCTCTCTCAATCCATGCTGCTTCATTGTTATCAAGTTTGTCCTCTCTAGATCCTCAACTCTTCTCAGTCTAATTATTTAGTCCAGCACTTGGAATACTTATCAGTGCCACTGATCTGTAATTTAGTCACCCTCCTGTATGTTCCTTTTTTTAATATTGTGACTCTGCCTTTTTTCTTGTCTTGGATAGTTTATTACAAATTTTATATTACGAGTGACTAATTCATTAGCCATGGTGAGAGTGTTCCCCTGACTTTGTCGCATCTAGTTCCTCCAGGTGTTTTTTTTTATACCCCGTCTACAGTGAGTACAACGTCATCCATTGTTTCTTCCAGCTTTTCATAATCATAATCTGGGTCTTTGTATTGGTTCTATTGTAAAGACCTGAATTTTTTTTTTGAGTTCCTCACATAGTTCCTAATTCTTTTCTGTGAGAAATACCTCTTATCTCCTTAATCTGATTACATGGTCTCTCTCTGTTCCTTTTCTCCTTACATGGCTATAGAGCCACGTGCGTTACGCCTCAGCTTTTGGCGAAATACAATTTTCAAATTGCCTCTCTGCTTTTTTCCTCACTTGGGTCCATTAAATTTGACTAATGCTAGTAGTAGTAATGCTAGTAGTAGTAGTAGTAATGCTAGTAGTAGTAGTAGTAATGTTAGTAGTAGTAGTAATGTTAGTAGTAGTAGTAATGCTAGTAGTAGTAGTAGTAATGTTAGTAGTAGTAGTAATGTTAGTAGTAGTAGTAATGTTAGTAGTAGTAGTAGTAATGCTAGTAGTAGTAGTAATGTTAGTAGTAGTAGTAGTAATGTTACTAGTAGTAGTAGTAATGTTAGTAGTAGTAGTAATGTTAGTAGTAGTAGTAATGTTAGTAGTAGTAGTAATGCTAGTAGTAGTAGTAGTAATGTTAGTAGTAGTAGTAATGTTAGTAGTAGTAGTAATGTAGTAGTAGTAGTAATGCTAGTAGTAGTAGTAGTAATGTTAGTAGTAGTAGTAATGTTAGTAGTAGTAGTAATGTTAGTAGTAATAGTAGTAATGCTAGTAGTAGTAGTAATGCTAGTAGTAGTAGTAATGCTAGTAGTAGTAGTAATGCTAGTAGTAGTAGTAATGTTAGTAGTAGTAGTAATGTTAGTAGTAGTAGTAGTAATGCTAGTAGTAGTAGTAATGTTAGTAGTAGTAGTAATGTTAGTAGTAGTAGTAATGCTAGTAGTAGTAGTAATGCTAGTAGTAGTAGTAATGCTAGTAGTAGTAGTAATGTTAGTAGTAGTAGTAATGCTAGTAGTAGTAGTAGTAATGTTAGTAGTAGTAGTAATGCTAGTAGTAGTAGTAATGCTAGTAGTAGTAGTAATGCTAGTAGTAGTAGTAATGTTAGTAGTAGTAGTAATGTTAGTAGTAGTAGTAATGTTAGTAGTAGTAGTAATGTTAGTAGTAGTAGTAATGTTAGTAGTAATAGTAGTAATGTTAGTAGTAGTAGTAGTAATGTTAGTAGTAGTAGTAATGTTAGTAGTAGTAGTAATGCTAGTAGTAGTAGTAGTAATGTTAGTAGTAGTAGTAATGTTAGTAGTAGTAGTAATGTTAGTAGTAGTAGTAATGCTAATAATAATAGTAGTGCTAGTAGTAGAAATGCTAGTAATAGTAGTAGTAATTCTAGTAATAGGAGTAGTAATGCTAGTATAGTAGCACAATGCTAGTAGCTTCAGTAATAGTAGTGCTTACAGTAGTAGTAGTAGTAGTAATACTAGTAGCATCAGTAGTAGTACTACTAGAAATGCTAGTAGCATAATAGTAATGCTAGTAGCATAGTAGAGGACTGAGACATAGCAGTCCCTGTGGCACAGTGGTAGCACACTCGCTCGCCCTTCGCGAACGATTTGGTCTGGGTTCGTATCCTGGCCGGGGAGGATTGACCGGGCGCCAGTCCTTGACTGTACGCCTCTGTTGACCCAGCAGTGAATAGGTATCTGGTTTCTAATCTATTTGGCGGGTCGTGTTCCAGGGGAACTAGCAGGTAAGGCTTTCCATGAGCCGTGAGAAGGTAAAGCTCTCAGCCCGATAACAGGAGTCTGCAGTTGGCTGTTCCTGTTATCCTCCTGTGTAAACATAAAAATAATGTTAGTAGCATCAACAGCAGTAGACGTACCTGCAGTAGCAGTACTTTTTATCATGATGTTTTTGGTGATTATATGTGGAATGTTTCTCTGGAAGTTGTATGGCAGAATGAAAGGATGTTACTAGTAAGCTGGAAGGTTCTGTACAATAAGGGTGGACCAATGAATGCAAGATAAATGTTCACTAAATGCAAGATGGTCATTGAACACTGTGGTTCAGAATCTCTACATCAGTGGAAACACGGTCTTGTGTAGATTAGATTACTCATATAAAAATTGAACCAGGAATGACCTGTCAGTCGGACAGTAAATAAATTCACTCGGATCATTTCTAGTAGTTGAAGCTCGTATCACCTTGCACTCTGCCAGGCGTCTTGGCTGATCTGCAGAAGAGTCTTAGTGGGGAGTTCAGCAGACGTCTGCAGGAGTGGGAGAAGCTGAAGGGCGGGGCAGGGCCGGGCGTGCCCTGTGCCTCGGGCTGCGGCGCCCTCGTCCTGGCACCCGGAGTGGTCGCCACCCACCCTGAAGACCACCTCCCCTACGAGTTCCGCAAGAAGCTTCACGAGTGGGAGAAGATGAAGGAAAGGGAGAGGGAGAAGGTTAGTCACGCCAGCAACAAGTTTTCCAGTTTAGTTCATATATTATGCACCCCATACCCATCGTGTGGGCGGGAAAGGTTACAGACACACATAATGGGCTCAGGAACTGAACCCATTATGTATCTCATTACCAAGACATTACTAGCATCATACTTTTCTAATTTAAACAAGTAAATTTGTCTACCCTGTTATTTTTGTGTCTCCGTATAGGGTAAGGTTGAGGTTCCGCGAGGACAGGAAGATGTCAAGACCAAGATTCATGGCGAGGATGATCTTCCTGCAGACTTCAGGAAGAAGCTGACTGAGTGGAAGATCCGAAAGGCTTTGGTGGGGCAGAGCCAGCACAACGTGGAGGAGCTGCAGAAGAACCTTGGTGAAGAGTTCAATCGTAAGATGGCGGAGTGGGAGAGAATCAAGGCCTCGGCCAGCCACGGACACATGAAGCCCGCTCCAGGACACCCGCAGGTGAAGGCCTCGGCCTCTGCAGGCAACATTCAGGTCAAACCTTCTGTCTCTGCGGGTCAGATCCACAAACCAGGCAGTGTCTTCAGTCAGTCTCAGGTTAAGACCTCGGTCTCAGCGAGTCAAGTTCTAGCCAAGCCCATGACTGTTGGACCTGGCTCCAGTCCCAGGCTGGACAGGAAGGGATCAGGTCACAAGATCAAGAAGATCAAGTCAGGCAAGACGGACAAGGTGCCCCTGGTGAGTAAGTGTGTCGTGGTGGCTCTCTAGCCCCCACACAGCATATATCATGTGGTGTGGTGACTCCATACTATCACCATGTTGTTCCTTCGGTGAACAAAGAATAAATTATAGATGTTTTCGTTCGTCTTTTTTAATGAGTGTTTGAGAGGGTGGTGAGGAGGGTAGGGAAAGTTGTGCTCATTTCCTTGATATTGTCCCATAACTTCTTAACATATCTTATAAAATTTATGTCCATGTTACTCCCTTTTAATTAACAGCAAACACAGAGCTTACGTATTATATAATCAGAATTTTTATATATTGTTATTAGAATTTAATTGTGTATATTGAGGTTCTATTGTGTTTTATTTTCTAATGCAGTTAGTGCTTCCAACTGTGGAGAGGGGCGACCCAGGTTGTCCTCCATAAGAACTATTACACATCTTGCCTGTCTCTCCTTCCACCAGGCTCCCTCTCCTGCCAGCGTCCCCCACCTCTCCTGCCAGCGTCCTCCACCTCTCCTGCCAGCGTCCTCCACCTCTCCTGCCAGCGTCCCCACCTCTCCTGCCAGCGTCCCCCACCTCTCCTGCCAGCGTCCCCCACCTCTCCTGCCAGCGTCCCCCACCTCTCCTGCCAGCGTCCCCCACCTCTCCTGCCAGCGTCCCCCACCTCTCCTGCCAGCGTCCCCCACCTCTCCTGCCAGCGTCCCCCACCTCTCCTGCCAGCGTCCCCCACCTCTCCTGCCAGCGTCCCCCACCTCTCCTGCCAGCGTCCCCCACCTCTCCTGCCAGCGTCCCCCACCTCTCCTTGTTTACTGTCCCCTCTCTTGTCTCTGTGCTGACTATACTTCCCCACGGGGAGGGGGGGGGACGGTCCACCACCTCACCCGGGGAGACAGTCCACCACCACACCCGGGGAGACAGTCCACCACCACACCCGGGGAGACAGTCCACCACCTCACCCGGGGAGACAGTCCACCACCACACCCGGGGAGACAGTCCACCACCTCACCCGGGGAGACAGTCCACCACCACACCCGGGGAGACAGTCCACCACCACACCCGGGGAGACAGTCCACCACCACACCGGGGAGACAGTCCACCACCACACCCGGGGAGACAGTCCACCACCACACCCGGGGAGACAGTCCACCACCACACCCGGGGAGACAGTCCACCACCACACCCGGGGAAACAGTCCACCACCACACCCGGGGAGACAGTCCACCACCACACCCGGGGAGACAGTCAGCCTCCTTCCATCACTATAGTAATGTAACATCTGCTGCACGCCGACCATAAATGATCACATAACTAGAGGGAAGACTGTCCATTATACATTAGACAAATTATACTATACTAGTGATATAATACTAGAGATTATATCAACCGTTAAGCTCACCGTCGCATTAATTACAAAGTAGCAACACAGATGGTCAGAGAGAGGGACCCAGTGCCGACCCCGACGTAGAGCAACAACAAACTATTTACATGTAAAGTTTACTCCTAAGTGTGTGTCTCATGAGTCACTATGTATAGTGATACTCACAAGCAGTTTCTGAGTGTGTGAATCATCTTAGGGTAAAGCTGAGAGCGGACACAAAGGGCGCGACAAGTCTGACAAGGAACTGCAGTGGCTGGAGAAGGAGCTGAACAAGGTGGAGAGGGAGACGCAGAGACTTGAGAGAGAGAAGGAGAAGTTCCTGGAGAGACAAGCCAGGTGAGGGCATCACGCTGCACGTGTCCAGTAGGGGCGGTGTCGGGGGTGTAGACACCTCTCTCTCTTCTATACCATCCTGTATAATGCTAGAAATGTGTTTTGGGCGTTCATTATCATACTAGAAATATTTATTATACTTATTATCCTAAAAATGCCCGAAACGCTAGGATAAAATGTTAGTTTTAATAATTTTCACTAACAAACGTGTTTTGGCTTTGCAAGAATGTAGGAACACCAATGTCATGTAGTATCGCTAACCCAATATACCTTCTTGTATATAAATATATTAATAAGATACGTAACTACAAACATTGGCAAGAATACTTCATCAGAACACGTCGCATGACCACTTGCTAACACTAATATCAAATTGGTCCCCAGACTGGAGAAGATGCGGCAGGCCATGGGTCAGGGAGGTCCGGCCAAGAAGAAGGAGATCTACATCAAGACGTCGACGGGAGAGTTCCGGTTCGAGGGTATAAGCCAGACGTTCACCAAGAAGCTGTACGAGTGGGAGGAGCGGCGAGGCATCCGGCCGGAGTCCTCCACCATCGCCCTTCTTGACCCCAACTACAAGGCCCCGGAGAAGGAGGTCCAGGAGAAGCCCAAGAGCCCAGAGCTCCTCAGGCTCGTCAGGTAGGTGCTGTTAAGCGAGATAAACACACTCACAGACAACACACACATTGACAGACACAGGCACTTTGTCTATGAGTGTGTCTGTCTGTCTGTGAGTGTGTCTGTCTGTCTGTCTAAGGTGGGATCCAGGCCATATGCTTGGGACTAGCCTCCTACTTTTCAAGATGACACATGGATGGTATGTAACTGTTACAGGCTATATAGTGAGGATCGGGCCCCGTGTCCCCCCTTAAGATGGATGAGCTCCAGTTGCAGTAGGGGAGTGACACTAACGTGGCTGAACACATGATGACCAATCCACACATCAGAAAACAGAGGCAATAATGGTCCGTCCTGATCCATCATCAAGTTGTGTAATAGCAAGCAAGTGGAAGAGACAAATCAAATTAAGGGGACAAATAACATTATAGCGCCTATTGTGAATCCCAGCCACTTCTGTAAAGTCTGAAATGGTGCTTTATGATCTATAAAATTTCAGCCCTTTATAATATCCTTAATGTGTAACAACAACTTTTTTTTAGTACGTGGTTCATTCTAAATTGGAATCATAGTCCAATACATTTTCTGGTGACGTCACAGTTGTCCACCAATTCAATAGCGCGTTGTCCTTAAGGCAATGATTCAGCCCTTGTTGTTCGTGTTACCTTCAGCTGCCTGGTGTGTGCTCCTACTTACCACACACCGACAAAATATTCACCTAGGCCAAGAGCCCACAGCTCATACTGCAAGTTTATCTTAGGGGTATTTGCAAGAAAAATCCTGTATTTAATATTAAAAGCCCCAGTTATTCATGAGGGAGGAACACAAAATGTAAAATATAGTATTCAGAAAGCAGGCATTATCATATATGACATAATATTGCGACTGGCACAAATCTCAAATCCAAAACCTTATATGTATAATTGTATGGCTTATTACAGTATCTGGTCCACTCCGATTATTGTCAATCACATAAGCAAAAGAATAAAAGAATTTCAACAACTTAACTAACAGTCAGAGCTCCTTCCAGATCCGACGCCACACCACTTCTGAGGTGATCCTCTCATGCAGGACTACTACAGCCACACACACACACACACACACACACACACACACACACACACACACACACACACACACACACACACACACACACACATTTGACGGTTGAGAGGCGGGACCAAAGAGCCAGAGCTCAACCCCCGCAAGCACAAGTAGGTGAGTACAATTAGGCGAGTACACACACACAAACTTACTCACTCTCTCTCTCACTCTCTCTCTCTCTCTCTCTGTCTCTCTCTCTTTGTCTCTCTCTCTCTCTCACACACACACCAACGTGACACAAACTCTTAATTAACCCACAACATAGGAAAGTAAACAAGCCCAGACATATATAAACCCAAGTAGTTAAGATTCTACACAATATGGAGTAATATAATCATAATACAAGATTAACTAAGAACATGCTGAACTTCTCAATAATACACAAACTGGTAACACCCGACTCTTACTTACTCTCAGCAACTACACGCGTCCACATATATACACGTCATTTCCTGTTCCTCCCATATAATAATACATTATACAGTGCTGACCTACACTATCATCATTGTATGAACATGTATTAAGCACAATATAGGAGCCATACCTAATATATGAACCGGTTCGTAACAGTTCTATACAATTTACATCTTCCAAGCTCATCACACCTGTGAAATAAATTAGCGATATAGAAATTTACTTAAATATGAGTAAAGCGACTTCCGTCACATTATTTCTCTTAGAAATTATTTTGCAGTAAAATAACAATTTAAGTAAAATGTTTTAGTAAGAAAATAATTCTCCAGAGCCCTCTACTTAGCATGAAGCACCGGACCATGGCTCTGCTCTCCGTATTTTTCGTAACTATAATTGTTACGTAAATGAACAACAAAATAGCGTAAAATACTAGTCATGTTGAAGATTGTCCGTCCAGAACAATATTAGGACATTAGTCGGAGACACCAGTCTCCGTGGTGTAGTGGTAAGACACTCGCCTGGCGTTCCGCGAGCGCTTTGTCATGGGTTCGTATCCTGGCCGGGGAGGATTTACTGGGCGCAAATCCTAAACTGTTGCCTCTGTTTAACGCAACAGTAAAATGAGTACTTGGTTGTCACAACGATTCTTCGCGGCGGGGATCATATTCCAGGGACCTGCCCGAAACGCTACGCGTACTAGTGGCTGTACAAGAATGTAACAACTCTTGTATATATCTCAAAAAAATAATTATAGGTGTTGATTACCTCACACACCAGCACCAAGTGTGGTGTTACCAATGAAGCGTCTCTAATCCTCCTCGTCCTCTACTTCTCTGATCTTCTCCTGCAGATCCAAATCGGAGTCGTCGATGAAGGCGGAGTTGGTGGCGACGCCGGCGCACTCTCACCCCTCCAGCCTCTCCCTCAACGAGATGGAGACCGAAGACCCCGGACTCCAGGGTCAGTACCGGTTGGTGGGTAGGGGGCACTTGCGGGATGCGGGTGAGGGGCGTACTAATAGTGAGGTGGTAAACATGTCATCACAGGTGGAACTCCAGCTCCCAGTGGCAGCCCCCAGTCGACGGATGAATATTTGAATATTACGACAGGAATAAGGTTAAAGGAGTTAAGGATTTTTTTTTTAGAAATTATCCAAAATTCAAAACCATTTCAAATTTCATTTAAACAAAACTCTCACAGTTCTGATCACGGGAAACTAAAAAAAAAAATATTGTATGCGACATACTTTAGCCACGATGGAGCTGGGAATTTGAGCACATTCTGGGCGGTGAGCAATGAAGAGCTCGGGGACACTGCCCCGCCACCCCGTGGGGCGCCAGATGCCACCAGTATAATGTTTCACAATTATTTTGATGATTCTCTTTCGTGTCTTTTCTTTTTTTCCTCTAATATATTCAAAAGTGAGTAATTTGTGGAATTTATATAGTTCAGTGTGTGGAACATCTATATGCTCAAAATTATGTGGCTCATATATGTGACATACACCATATTCTTTGATCAATCAGTGTTTTTGCTGTTATTACACTATATATACACATACTGTGTATATCTATATACATATGTGTTCACCATAACGAACCACTAAGTTGGTATGGTGAGCCCAAAAAACAAGAGTGGGCTGCTACACCCAGCCAACCCTCCCCTCCCTCACTCCAACACCTAACTCGCCATCATTCCTCTTCCCAGAATACTGTTTGTAGTTTTATTACACGATGTTGTTTGTTCACCATAACTGTACAGCTAACCTGGTATGGTGTCCACACAACATCGCTACAACAACAAACTGCTTGACAAGTCACACAGCAGACGATGCCATCTCTTCCTCCCTACTCACCAAAATTACTCCTCCCACCATACTATGCACCTCGTTAATTTTCACCACAATCCTGCTATTATTCAAATCCCAGTCACTAAATCCTGTAATTGAATAATTTTCCACAAATTTATTTTGTAAATAAACACAAGAGGCTGTTTAAAGATTCTTGGATGGACGAAATAATGGCAGTGTTGTGGCTAGCGCTGTGAACATCTTGAACAACATTGCTTCACTGATATCTGAACATTGTACACAGTCTTTATCACAGTCAGGCTCTTCTGTAATACTATCATGGTTAAATAATACCAGTTACATATATATTTTGACAGTTTTAGGCGATGCTGTGGTCACAAGCTGAACAGCAGTGCTGTTAGCTCATGCTGCGTGCGCCTGCTCATTCAGTACTGAGAATGAGTACACACCCGGGAATGTTGCCCACGATTTAAACAGCAAAGCTGTGATATATAAATATAGTGCTCTACAAGAGAGGTTGTCAGTCTGGCAACTTGTCAGACGGCACCGGCTCTCAGACTGTATAAACATAAGTATATTGAGTGTTATTGTAGTGTGTTGATTGGCCAATTGCATGCTTGTGTACCCTTAATATAACCAATAAGTCTGATTGCCGTTACAGAGCGGGACAACGCCCCATATTTCAGTAAGCTTTTATTAATCTTTCAGCCATTGAAACTTTTCAATTTATCTGGACACTCACTAATTATTTAACTTCATTCATTGAAAGTCAAACTTGACAGAATCTTTTCATATAAATTGATATCTGTATATATAATTGATAATATACTTTAAGTTAACAATTGTTTACTTAGTTATCTTTAATTTATCATATAAGTTTATCATGTTGAATATAATCCTTTGAACCAAGATGGTTATATCGGTACACTTAGACCATATTATGGTCCTTTAATTGCAATGGTCCTCTATAATACAAATTATTGTGTTTATTAGTATGTTAATATTGGCTGTTGTAGTTATAGTGATAGGCTGAACTGTGTACATGTTTAGATCCTTGATTTAAACAGAACCAGTTTTCAGTTATAGAACCGAGTTATTTAATCTTATCCTTGTATTAACAATACAAGCTGATGTGTTGAATTGTCTGCAGGTGGATTGTAGATTTTCAATCAACTTCTCCATTCACCCTTAGGGACCCCACCTGTCCCTCACAGTCCACAGTCTGTCATTAGGTCAAGAGCAGCTAGGCTTTACAACCCTAGCTACGGACTTTAGTTGTATTAATTTTGCATACAGTAATTTTTAATTTAGTACAGTATAAGTCCTAAGTAATTCTCCTCATATATCAATCCCGACAATTTTCCCACAGTATTCACCTAGTTGTGCTTGCAGGGGTTGAGCTCTGCTCTTTCGGCCCGCCTCTCAACTGTCAATGAACTGTTACTACTTTTTTTCACACACACACACACACACACACACACACACACACACACACACACACACACACACACACACACACACACACACACACACACACACACACACATATATACACACGCGCGCGCGCCCAGGAAGCTGCCTGTAACAGCTGTCTAACTCCCAGGTACCTATTTACTGCTAGGTAACAGGGGCATCAGGGTGAAAGAAACTCTGCCCATCTCTTTCCTCTGACGCCGGGAATTGAACCCAGACCTTAGGATTACGAGTACAGAGCACTGTCCAATCAGCCACAGGCCCCTTTCGCCCCCCCCTCACCTGCGTGTGTGTACTCATCTATTTGTACTCGCCTATTTGTGCCTATAGGATTGAGCACTGTCTCTTGGATCCCACCTTTCTAGCCATTGGTTGTTTACAGCAATGACTCCAATCGTATTTCCCTTTCATATCTAGTTTAAAATTGTGAAAAGAGTTTGCTTCCACAAACTGCTCCTTAACCACTGCACTGCGCAAAGAGCCTGCACTAGCACTTTTACAATCTCTTCCCCTGAGGGGCCTCGTAGCCTGGTGGATAGCGCGCAGGACTCGTAATTCTGTGGCGCGGGTTCGATTCCCGCACGAGGCAGAAACAAAAGGGCAAAGTTTCTTTCACCCTGAATGCCCCTGTTACCTAGCAGTAAATAGGTACCTGGGAGTTAGTCAGCTGTCACGGGCTGCTTCCTGGGGGTGGAGGCCTGGTCAAGGACCGGGCCGCGGGGACATTAAAGCCCCGAAATCATCTCAAGATAACCCTCCAAATTTCCCCATTTCACCTCATGATCGCTGTCACCTTCTCCAACACTGCCACCAAAGCCACCTTCTCCAACACCCGGGGTCAAATCCTATCACCAATTACAAGTTTACTATATTAACAGATGTTAGATATTGCATTATAGTAATTGGCCGCCGGAACTGCATATATATATATATATATATATATATATATATATATATATATATATATATATATATATATATATATATATATATATATATATATATATATATATATATATATATATATATATATATATATATATATATATATATATATATATATAATATATATATATATATATATATATATATATATATATATATATATATATATATATATATATATATATATATATTTATATAGGTATTACTAGAGTTACTAGTAAAACACTAATTTAAGTATCCACAAAATGAACGTATCCGTAATGATGAAAATGTCCTTAATGTTTCTCGCGGTCACTTGTGGAATTTTTTTAATTTCTTCATTTGAAAATCATGTTTATGACGAGGTAAAAATATTTGGACCCGTCATTGGCTCTATTGTTGGACCCGTCATTGGCTCTATTGTTGGACCCGTTAATGGACCCGTCATTGGCTCTATCGTTGGACCCGTTAATGGACCCGTCATTGGCTCTATCGTTGGACCCGTCATTGGCTCTATTGTTGGACCCGTTAATGGACCCGTCATTGGCTCTGTCGTTACTGAAGATGGTAAGATGGCGGTGAAGATGACTGAAAGATTCTTAAAAATTCGTGCGTTGTTGATAATGGGCGGAGCTGTGGCAGGTTTCTTGATCATCAGCCGTTGGCTTCCTCACCACCCGCTACATGATGAATGCAATGTGAAGGTAAGAGATTTCTCGAGTGAGGACGAAACTGAAGCTTATTCAAGTGGGGATGAAACCGAAGCTTGTTCAAGTGGGGATGAAACGGAAGCTTATTCAAGTGTAGATGAAACCGAAGCTTGTTCGAGTGGGGATGAAACGGAAGCTTGCTCGAGTGGAGATGGAACCGAAGCTTGTTCAAGTGGGGACGAAATGTTGACTTTCGACGAGTTACATTCGATAATCAATTACTTATGCCGTAGTGGTTACGATTGTAGTGATGATTGTAGTGGTTACGATGCCGATTGTAGTGATGGAGAAGATGAAGTTTGATTGAGTGGGGACGAAACTGATAAAATGTTGACTTTCGACGAGTTACATTGAATAATGTCACAGGGGGTGGGATGGGGCTCTGCTAGCAGTCGGCTGCTAAGGGGCTCAGAAGGCAGAATACTCAGCCCCTCCGACTCTTGGGACTCACCGGAGTCTCCTGGTCCCACAGGAGAGGACCAGTAATACCCACCACCGCAGGTCTTTGTCCCCACCACTAGGGGTGCCACTGATTCACCCTGGGAGCCCTTCAGTCAATCACAGGGAAACTGTCATTAGCAATTCCGGCCTAGACCCGTGGAGAAGTACAGGAAGACCCAGGCTTACCTTTTAACAATAATTTTCCCTGAGTCTTGAATGCCAGACAAAAAGTTGCAGGAATTCCTTTCCCGCCTGTCTTCTCTATCTTCTTTTGACAAGGTCGCCAGCTGGGTTGATACATCTGCACCCCAGCAGTGCAGTTCAGTGGGTGTATTCTATACTGCTTGTTGCCAAAGTGTTGCTACTCCTACAGAGTTGACACTGGTCTGTCAGCCCAAGATACACTTCCATAAAATCTGTGTGGCTTTACCTCTCTCCAGCCACTACATTGTTGGCAAAGTGTTGCCACCATTCCAGCTCTGATACTGGACAGATAGCCTAGGGTACACTTCTACATCAGTCTGTGCTGCTTTCTTCTGTAGAAAACGTGATGTTCACTAGGTGGGACTATGATATCCCTCGTGTATGCTCATAGAGATTAT